AAAAGATTTATTATAAGTGATTGGTTCATGCTGTTGTGGGCACTGACCCGTCCAAAATCTGTGGGGCAAACTGGAAAGTCAGGGAAGGGTTGATGTTATGTTCTTAGGTCTAAAGATGATTTGTAGGCAGAATTCCTACCTTTTCAGGGGACCTCGGTCTTTTCTCTTAATGCCTTCAAGCGATTGGATGAGGCCCATCCACCTTATACAAAACAAGCTACTTTACTCAAAGGCTAACTTAAATGTTAATCAAATCCAAAAAACAAAAAATACCTTTCCAGCGATATCTAGACTGGTGTTTGGCCAAACAACCAAATACTATTGCCTAGCCAACTTAAAATTAACCATCATAGGAATCATTTAGAATCTACCTTCACAAAGAAAAGACGTAATTTTAAGGAAAAATACATATATATTCTAGTTTCTTTTCATATGATTTCATTTTAATTTTCACAAGGATAACATGTTATTCTAACCGGTATACTAAGATATATCCTATTTTTCCAAGACAGTAGTTTTGACTTGTCAGATAATTGAGAAAAATATTACTATTTTTTACAGACAGCCTTTAATTGCTGGCATGTACCTTATGATGTCTGTTGACACTGTTATACCAGCAGGAGAGAAAGGTGAGTAATGATCTTTGGTATTTACCTTTATTAGTTAATCCATAGCAATGGAGTTACAGTATATTTTTATAAACTTTTTAAGTGACCAACGTTTTTGAGTCCTTTTAAAATAAATCAATTCTTTATTGTCCTTGAATTTAAAATAGATTTTTGTATTATTTCAATCCAATGGTTTATTTCTTTTTTATTCATTATTTATTGCGATGCCAAGAACTGAGGTAGTAGGTTATGTAAATTAAAGAATAAATCTTGACTTTTTACAAATCAATCACCCATTCTTCAGGTGCAAAAGACAAGCTGCATAATGTGCAGCAGCATAAAGTACTGCATGGAAAGGTTCAAAGTCAAGGGCAGGTCAGTTAGCTCAGGTGGTTAGAGCGTGGTGCTAATAACACCAAGGTGTCCAGGGTTCGATCCTTGTACTGGCCAGCTGCCAAAAAAGAGAGAAAAAAGGAAAAAAAATCAAGAGACTAACAAATCCAACGCTGACTCAGTCTTTCTCTACCTGGAAAATGGGGATTATGATGGCTGATTTTCTTAAGCTGGCCAAAAGCTGTAAGAATAAGTATAATATTATTTATCAATGTATCTGAAGATCCTTTGATGAAAATGTCATATTAAATATTGTTCATTTGTTTGGGCTGGGAATGTTTTAAAGTTAATGACCAGTATGGTCTCTTTGTTACTGCTCATTTATCTATTATAAAAGATATGTTATTGAATAGCTATTATGTGTTAGACTACAAGGAAGGAAAAGTATATGAAATGGTCCCTTCTCAACAGGAGCTGTCAATCTAGTGATCTTAGATATTTGCATTCAATTTTTCAAAACTCCTTTTTGTTCCAAAGATAAAAACCAGTTTGTAAGTGTTTTTAACTGTATAAATTTCAAAATAAAGGTAACAAATTAAGCCTGTGTTTTTGCTGACAAGGTATTTTGATTTGGGTCTAGTCATTTGTTTATGAATAAAATAAAAATATGAGGCAAGAGGTTCTTAATTTATCTTAGTAAAGTGACTGGCACAGAGTAAGTACTTAATGTCTGCTGAGCATGTGAGCACATGTACTTCATAAGAAGCCCTAATGCCTAGCATCTTATGAATACCCTGTATGTACTTTTAGACAAGAATAATGTCATTTTCTAGTTGAATAGTGATTTTTTTTTCTGTGTTTTCATTTCTCACAGTGGTGAATTCTGACATTTCATGCCATTATAAAAACTACCCAATGCATGTCTTTGCCTATAGAGTTCACACCCACCATTTAGGTAAGAATTTTAAACTACATGTTAAATTATAAATGCTTACCATTATACTTGCTAGTGCGATAAATGTAAGAAGTAAATTATATTTGACCTTAAGTCTGTCTCAGTGAAAGTGATTTCACACAATGCCTTGATTTTTTATGCTGTTTCATATTGTTTTTATTAAAATATACAGTATTTGGGGTTCTGAAAACATTAAAATTTTATTTTAAAATAGGAAAGAAATATGCCTTTTATTTTTCTAATGCCTTATTATATTATATGGTTATAATTTGTGTTTTTAAAGGTAAGGTGGTAAGTGGATACAGGGTAAGAAATGGACAGTGGACACTGATTGGACGTCAGAGCCCCCAGCTGCCACAGGTATGTAGAATCTAATTTGATTTTGAGAGAAAAAAATATTAATCAGCAGAAAGTACTTTTTAAAAATCCTTATACAACCCTTATGAATTTCTCTAGAATCTAAAAAATCTCTAAATCTGCCTGTACTGTAATCGTATATTTGAGCTGTATAATTTCCTTTTTTACAACTTCCAATTTATAAATTCTCTCAGTTGATCAATTCTTTCAATATGGTCTAAACATGAAGACTTTTCTATCCCATCATTTAGTGAAAGACAGTGTTTCAGGTAGCTCTTCTGTTATTTCATTTATTCTTATTTTTATGGGATGCATTTGTTAATAGTATTTGTTTATTTCAAAGTTTGATACTCTTGTTATAAAATGGAATTGATTAATTAAAGGTAAACTCTTTTTATCCAGTGGTTATTTGTGCCTATCTGTTTGTCTTCATTCTTTCTACCCAGAGTGCTCCAAGCCTCACATTATTGAAGCATGTGGTTCTAGGTTTTATTGGTAATTTTAATGAACTATTGTTTGTCTCCTCGGCAGGCTTTCTACCCTGTGGAACACCCAGTAGATGTTAGTTTTGGTGACATACTGGCAGCAAGATGTGTATTTACTGGTGAAGGAAGGACAGAAGCTACACACATTGGGTATGAATCTGCACGTTTCACTATTTAAAGAGACTTTGTTGGGATAAGGTATGATTATAGATGATAGTTATCTTTGTGAATGAATTACACATTTTCCCCCCTGTCTTGGTCAATTACAACAAACTGTACCATTTTGTCATTTCGGAACTGATTGGTTTGGATAAACCCCAGGACCGTGCTCATGTTTTCATGCTTCCTTTCTTCCTGCTTCTTCAAGACCTTCAGCATCACACCTCTACATATTACAGTTACCACTAGAGTATGTATATTACTTCCTCAGACTCATCTTAATAAACTAAACGTAAGGATTAGGAAAATTTTTCTTCTCAAGTGTCCTTTTGCACTGTGTTCAAATTTAGACAAATATATAGATTATATACATTTGCTGGTGCCCATTAAATACTCAGAGTCATGATTTTTTCTGACTGTTAAAACTTCTGGGTATCCAATAATTTCTAATTGTTTAAGTCTACCAAATGTAGATAATAATACACCGTACTTTTTCAAAGGGGAATGGCAAGACTTTTAAATAATTTTCAAAATACCAAGTCTTTTTGAAATAATTATATTTTATAACACTAAGTAAAATTTTCAAAGCACTATAAACTCTTTCAAAAAAGCTTAGCTAAATAAAAAATGAAAGATAAGGGCCGAGCCCGTGGTGCACTCAGGAGAGTGCGGCGCTGGGAGCGCAGCAGCACTCCCACCGCGGGTTCGGATCCTATATAGGGATGACCAGTGCGCTCACAACGCTCACTGGCTGAGCATGGTGCGGCCGGTCTCCAAAAAGGACAAAAAAAAAAATGAAAGATAAAGTTTCTTATGTTTTTTGTTAGAAAAGAATCAAGGAGCCTTCTGTCCATGTTGAACTAGGTTTGAAAACATTTACTGATTTCATCTGGAAACTAGCATTTTAAATCATTTATTTATTTGATCGAAGAGAAGTTACAAAAAGTAAGCATCTGAAAATATATGCATTACATGTGCCAGAGATAATTCTTATAATAACAACACTAACAGTTGTAAGGGGTAGGGGAAAAGATACTGATGCAGATTTTTTTAAATGTAAATATGATATGGTGGAATAGGATTTTTTTTTTTTTTACATCCTTAATGCCAAAAGAACTCTTAAAAATGAATTAGAAAACTCTAAGCAGAAATTTGGTGAAGGACATGAACAGATAAGCCACACACCCCAAAGAAACACACGTAGCTGATAAGCACATTCTAAGATGTTGTTGCTGAGGTAGGGCCAGCCCTCAGCTTGGAATAGGATTTTTTGATATGGTGGAATAGATTTTTTGATATGGTGAAATACGATTTTTTTATGTCACTCTAAAAGGGTTTTTATGTTAATAGGCATCAATTTTAAGGCTAAAGGTAGAACAAATAGAAAAACATTATCAATTTATATTTAAAAAGAAGCTTCCAACAGCTTTACTTTTGGATAAATTTGATAAATTTAGGAAAGACACTTAAGGAAAGCAATAAAATTATTGAGTTATAGGAAATGGTGATGGTAATTGACAAAGTAGATATAACTAGATTTGAAAGAGTCTGATAATTCACTTCTTAGCAATCTTTAAATACATGAGGTAATAGGAGTCAGAGGATATTAATCAGCTGTTTTCCATTTATTTTAGTGTAGAGCCACAAGCACTATTGGTTATTTTATTAACCTTTGAAATAAGTAAGCAAAAAGAGTAAGAAAAAATCCTTTTCAACACATTACATATATTGGTTTACAAGTTTCAAGTGTGGCAAAAATAGAATTTTTTGCCTAGAAGTTTTTTTACAGTTTTGAGGGGCTTGTAACTTTGTCCGCATTCTATCCTTTGAGTTTCCTCTGTGAGGTAATATCAGCCATAGGAATTAATGACTTGTTATAGTACTGGGATGGGAGGCCAAAGTGATCTCTGGAGCCCTCTTTCAGTTTCATGAGTCTAGAATAATTCTAGTCATTTTAAAATGTACATTTTGCTTTAAGATAATACCCTAAAATGACTATCCTAACCTATCCTTTCGTAAATCTCTTGTGGGCTTAAAGGAAACAGCATTTTGTAATATAAGTGAAATAGAAAGGAATTATAGGAAATTAAGTTACTGGATGAGTTTGTATTCTGAATATTTAATTTATACTACAGAAGCAGTTTTTTTTTCCAGTGAAATGATAAACTAATAAGACAAGTTTGAATAAATTTAAATATGATTTAAAATCTTCATAATAATGTATAATGTTCCTAAAGCACTTAAAATGCTTTTTAGTTTTAGAAAGATAACAGCAGCCACACATCTCTGTTTTGTAAAATAATTAGTACAACCTCCACAGGGTACTACAGAATCACAATTGAGAATGTAACCAGTAAAAAAAAAAATCTAGTATTATATGATGTCTATTAAATTAAATGATACTCTGTAAATCCCCTCTTCCTCTTCTCTCTTACCACCTACTGCAACCCACATACATAAGCCTTTACTCCCACTGTATACAGGTTTGACACCCAAACTTGCAGCACTTAGTTACAAATCACATTTATCCAAAGGTAGGTAGTTTGGGACCTGTAGGTGCCCCCTTCATGTACTGAAATATCAGCTTCAAGTTTTAAACCTTCTTCTCTGCAGCCACCTGGAAACTAGGTTTTTCAGGAAAACTGTGTTGACAGTGGCCTACGAGCTTAAATCTGTACTTAGCTGGAAATTTTAGGACTGGAGAAAACTTTGCTTGGGTAGAAGAATCCTGATTAACTAATAAAAAGCACTTTCAAAAATAGGGGCCAAACCAACTCAAAATGTATTAAAGACTTAAATGTAAGATGCAAAACTATTAAACTTCTGGAAGAAAATATAGGGGAAACATTTCAGGACATAGGTCTGGGCAAAGACTATGAGTAATACTTCAGAAGCATAGGGAACAAAATCAAAAATTAACAAATGGGATTATATCAAACTAAAAAGCTTCTACACAGCAAAGGAAACAATCAACAGAGCAAAAAGACAACCTGTAGAATGGGAGAGAATATTTGCAAACTATATATCTGACAAAGGATTAATATCCAGAAGATACAAAGAACTCAATAGTAAAAAAATAGTAATAATTGACTTAAAAGTCAAAGGAACTGAATGGACGTTTTTTGAAAAAGACAAACAAATAGCCAACAGGTATCTGAAAAAATGCTCAACATTGCTAATCATCTGAAATGTGAATCTAAACCACAGTGATACCATCTCACCCCAGTTAGAATGGCTATTATGAAAAACACAGAAAATAAGAAATGCCGGCAAGAATGCTGAGAAAGGGAAACTCTCATGCATTGTTGGTTGGAATGTAAATTAGTACAGCTACTATGGAAAACAGTATGGAGATTCTCAAACAAGTGCAGATAGAACTACCATACAATCCAGCAATACTGGGTATATATCCAAATGAATCAAAATCAACAAGTCGAAGGGACACCTGCTCTCCCATCTTTATTGTGGCTGTATTCACAATAGCCAAGAGTTGGAATCAACCTAAATGTCCTTCCATGGATGATTGGATAAAGAAAATGTGGTATATATACACAATGGCAATACTACTCAGCCATAAAAAAGAATGAAATTCTGCCGTTTGCAGCAACACAGATGCACTTGTAGAAAACTATGTTAAGTGAAATAATCCAGGCACAGATAGAGAAATGCCACATGTTCTAACTCACATGTGGAAGCTAAAAAAGTTGATCTCATAGAAGTAGAGAGTAGAATAGTGGTTACTAGGGACTGGCAGAGTGGGGGAAAGGGGAATAGGGAGAGGGTGGTCAGTGAATGCAAAATATTAGATAGGAAAAATGGGATCTAGGGATCTATAGTAAAGGGAGACTACAGTTAACAAAGTACTGTGTATCTTTGAATAGCTAGTCAACATGATGTTGAATGTTCTTAAAGAAGTAACACATGTTTGAGGTGATGGGTATACTAAGCACCCTGATATGATCATTGCACACAGTACAAAGGTACCCAATATCATATTGTACTCCATACTATACACAGTTATTATGGGTCAATTAAGAAAAATAAGTTAAAAAGAGAAGTAGAGAGTAGAATAGTGGTTACCCAGAGGCAGGGAAATGGAGGGGAGGGCTGGGGAAAGGTTGGTAGACTGGTACAAAGTTACTGTTAGATAGGAGAAATAAGTTCTGGTGCCCTAGGGTAATAATATTGTACTGTATATTTCAGTATAGTCAGAAAAAAGGATCTTGAATGTTATAACCACAAAGAAATGATAAATATTTAGGTGATAGATATAACCATTCTGATTAGATCAGTATGCATTATACGCATGTATTGAAACAACAAACTATATCCCATAAACATGTATAATGAAAAAATAGTTTTAAATCTTTTAAAAAGTGAATTAAAGACATATCCAGATAAACAAAAACTGAGTTTAGCACCAGTAAACCTGTACTAAAGAACAGCTAAGGACTGTCCTTTAGGAAGAAGGGAAATGATCCTAAGAAGAAAGTCAGAGATTCAAGAAGGAATGGTAAAAAAGAAAATTGGTAAACATATAGTTAAATGAATGTTGCCTATGTTAAATATAATATATTCTGACCTTCAAAAAAATAAAAGAAAAAGAAAAATAGTGACTGATTTTCCCATACCAAGTATTCATCTCAAAATACCACCATTAAAAAAATAGGTGGATTTAAAAACTTAAGTGTCTATCAATAGATGAATGATTAAAGAAAATGTGGTATATGTACAAAATAGAATACTATTTCACCTTAAAAAGGGGGGGAAGCCATATCACTTGCAAGAACATGGGTGAAAAAAAGAACATTATGCTAAGTGAAGTAAGCCAGGTACCACATGATCTCATATATATGTGGGATCTAAAAAGTTGACCTCTCAGAAGTAGAGAATAGAACAGTGGTTACCAAAGACTAGGGAAGGTAGAAAGGAAGGGGGGAATGGGAAGGTTGGTTAACTGGTACAAAGTTTCAGATAGACAGGAGGAATAG